GCGTTCGTCCCTCGAAGTTATAGCGCCGACGGGGATCTTCTTAGTGGGGGTAAACCTTGGCGGTAATAATTAACATCCTCATCATCGGTGCAAGAGGACGTTCAAATAGATTCTGCAATAGACATATCGTGGTGTGATATACCTGAAAAGCCTCGAGGCCGTGCCAGATATATACACGCGTATACAAGATCACTCGTGATATCCCGAGGCTGATACATGCTGAACTTAAGAGAAGTTTGCGGAATATACTGTTGCTGTGATTACAGCGATATAGATTTATCAAGCATTTGCGAAATTAGGCATGTTAGAACGTGTGCCTTTGCTACGCTAATTACCCAATGCTTTCGGTAATCACGCTTTCGTGCGGGACCAGTCGCCGTTTTTAATCATATTGATCGTTCGGAGAAAATTACGTCTGCGATAAGCTATTAAAGTTATTCTCATATTAATAAGATTAAACAAAAAAACAGTCGCAATTTCGCAACGCGAAAGTCAAAAGTAGCAGACAGCCAATGGCGAGAAAGTCGCAAAAATGGTTAATGACAAAGTTGGGCCAAGCCAATTTAAGAAGTTATCTTTCCCGTCAAAAGACGACAATCCGCAGAAGTTGGACAACCGTGTAAAGGAACTTTTTAAAGAGCTCGGTCGTTTGTGTCACGGTATACAACAAACTCACTTCGAAAGCTAGACACAGACAATAATTAAATTAATTGCAGGGGACAAAGGTACATGCCCGATATATAAAGTTGCGCGTATTTTTATCTTGCAAATTCCACTTTAATTTAAACGACTGTTGAAATGTTTTAGAGAAATAAAAGCATTAGCATAGGAATTTCGCAATCGGTTGGATCTGTTTGGACTGTCGTCAAAATCGAATTGTTCAGCCCAACGGTTACGCCGTCGAAATTGGCCGTGAATATTCGGCGTAACAATTTTTCAAACGCGATTTACACTCAAAAACATTTACATCATTTTAAACGCGTAAAAGGAGAGAAGGAGAGAACATTTTATATGCATTAGCTACCAATGAACATGCAAACGCAATAATCAGAAAAATTCATTAAATTTATTGCATCTTTTTACATCTTTTTTTCCTCGCGCCAATATTTGGTAATATTTATAAATTCAAAATATCCACGTAATATTGTAATATTTGTAAATGCAACAAATTTGCAAAATTATAAAACAGATATTTGCAATTTTATGCCAAATATGTTAAAAAAAAATCTATATATCGCAGATACGTTTTATAAATGCGAAACAAAGATTTGTTGGTCAAACTTCCGAGCGCATGCATAGTTGTTCAGTTCTGCAGACGGAAGTTCACGCGCGTTGTCAGTGAAATTGGCCGAAAACTTTCGGCAATTTAGCGTACGCGTACGAGTAATTTAGTCGCGTCCGGCCTGTATCGACTTTGGGAAACGTGTGTCCAGTATCGCGAACGTCGCGAAATGTAACAATGTCGACGTTGAAACGCGTCGCCCATGGACGTGCAAAACAGAGTCGAAAAATCGCACGATGCATCGGTTCGCGATGTACCACTACTTTCCTCGCTTCCGGTTACGTCAACCAACGCCGATAATGAATGCAGTCACACGGGACATGTAGCCCTGACGCGAGCCAATTAGCCGACTGTTTCGTTTTGTCCCGAAATGACAGTACGCCGGATGGAGTAGGCGATGCAAATTGCATTATATAAAAGCAGGTTACGCTAGGAGCATGAAAAAAAAACTCGTTCACTGAGTGATCTACCGATATCGGTTTCACGCTGCCTATTATCCATCGATATCCGAGTCCACCTATTATAGACCGATGTCCGAGTGATAGCACATTTATGCGCAACAACGACGACGGCAGTTTTATGCTTAAAGCCCACTTTAGACAAGCTATAATTGACAGATTTTAAAATAAAGTTCTATCTATAGTTTGTGCGCCATATATATATATAATAGAGAAAACATTTGGAAAATTGAAATATATATATATATTTTTATACGTATGTGTATATTTCGATTCTTTATAAATGTTTCCGAAAAACTTGTTACTTAAAATTATAAATAAACTTTTGCTTCGAGCTCTCTTCGCGAGTTATAGGTTATCTATATTTAAGCGGGCTTAAAAAACATAAATGGAGTATCTTGTGTAACATAGAAAAAAGAAGTAAGATTTTATCAAGCCGATTTCTTATGTTTACCCGCTGGAATTTGAGCTGTCGACACGTCCGGTGTTAAACTTCTCACGGTCAATTCGATTTATAGTCCAACAGAGGTCGGTGAATGTGTTATATAGAGGGTGTGCAGTAGTATAGAGCGAGGGAAGGGGATAACATGATGAAACAAAGAAGGAAAGAGAGAGAGGGGAGAGGGAGAGAGGAATTGGTCAGTCCCACCGGCTCGACGCTAATAACCGAGGAACACGAAGACGAGTTATGACAGCCTGTGTCGCAGCCCCTTTGGTGGGCCACAACTGCGTGGGCGACATGTGCCATTGTTCAAACAGTACAGCCCTGCACCTTCTATTAGCACTGGCCATTCTATCCACCGGCATTCCTCTCTTCGGCCAAGGTGACGACTGCGCTAGATATACGCTCGTTGTCTATACACTGTCCCGAATATTCTCGGCCTTGGAGATAGTTATAACTGCGAAATGTCTTCATTTTATGAACACAGTGCTGTAAAACGCGATGTTTAAGTGGAAGGTTGCTCATTGCTTTCATATTATTTAATTTTATTTGCAATTGTGCTCCGAGAGCTATCTAAATTTATATTTATAAAAAAGATTTTATGGTGGAAAAATATATTATTAATTAAAGTAGTTCGCAAACAAATTCTTTAATCAAGGATTAATCTACGGTAAAAGCGGTAATTTCTCTATAATCGCACCCTCGATCAAGCCGCCGACGATTAAATCTATAGACTCAGAATCGTAATCTTCATTGTTGAGGAAACCTCTGTCATGAAGTAAGAATTTCTAACCCTCCGCTGTCTGAGTTAGGGTAGCTTGACGCGAGGTAGTAAAACGTGACTTTACTCTGGAAATAATATCGGCTATAAAATCGAGGATAGTAAGGTAACCAATGTCTGTTCGAAAAGTCAATTTCAGTCATATCTCGACCTAGAAGAAAATACTTGCGGTACTTGTGCGATCTTATAAAGTGTTATACTGCTTTTGCAATACTCGAACTCTCTGCATTTGTATAAAGTATAATTAAATATTTATGTGCGCTCTTCACATTAAATTTTGATATAAGACATTAAAATCAGCGTCTCGCAGGACATGATATTTTATATAACTCAGATTGCATGAGAGCACACGGAGTATATAAATCATAATTCATAAAATATAAGTTAATGAGCAAGAGAATATTATCATGGGGAATTGTTGACACGTGTGCAGGAATTTAACTTGCACTTACTCTTATATGAATTCCGAAGGGAAGTACAAGCGTCTAATCTTCCACCTGGCTCTGAGTGAGTAACAACATCTGATTGATGTTGCAGCATTAGTAGCCGACGGTGATCATAAATAAGAGCGTTGTAAGCTTACGGTATCGTGTAACCTTACCGCGGCATTCGCTCGTAGATTACTGTGCAGCACTGCAACATTACTTATCTATTTAATTCAAAAATTAGTTTTACAGGTTTTTCTCCGGCGAAGATTGCGCTATTTATTAAAGAAATATATAATACGAATGCAGTGTGTTTATTCTCCATTAACTCCATTAATTAATTAGCGTAATAGCTTTACTATATACTTAATGCGAAATAATCCACTCTGCGCAGTATTTTACAACATTTTGAGACACATTCTATTAATAATTCTGGATAAAGAGAAATTTACTTCGTTCGTTTATTCGAGTGCATCATTTATCATTTCTATGTAGACTTGATGCAATTACGAAGTATTTCTATCTAACACGCACTTGTGTGATATGTACATCGGTATAACGGTCTTGTTTTACCAGCAGAATAGTCATAATTCCCCTCAGAGTTAGCATTATAGAAACGTGCTCCGAATGAGGTAAAATCTTCGCGTATTGACGCACGATAAATAATCCGTAGAGCCCATGGCGCGCGCCATTATTCCGTGATCGTAATACATCGTGCACATATCTATATATCGTAATATAATTTGCATTAAATCGCGGCCATTTTCTGTGTGGGAGTTAAGCACTACAGCGTCAAATGCAATCGTTGCTAATTTACAATTCTATTGCATTACTTTCGTAATCAGCGTCATCGCACGTACTTGTATCGATTTATTGAAACACTTTTTTAATTATTGTATTAAAGCTTCGATGTACAATAACGATTTTATTAGATAAAATCAAATCCATTTCCAGAAAATATTCGATATTGGATAAAAATAAATGATAAAACGACACAGAGGACAGAGTGTAGCGTTTATAATCATTCATAAATCTAAAATACTGAACACGTTAAAATGGATGCAATTAATCAAGTTACAGAATTCACATCATATTAAGAGAATGAGAATTATTTAATTTTCCGCGTCTAGGAGCATTTAATATTACTTTATCTTCGCGTCTGCCAGGTCACGTGGCAGCTCGGAAACGTGATATAATTATCAGTCCATCTTCGGAGCGTCTACCTTCATCTAAGCACCGCTCGTAGAGGCCGGAACCCAAATTGAATCAATCAGGCTTGTATCTGATCACGTATGTTGCTAATCGAATCGATTCATGTTTCGCCCATACGGAATTTCAACTATCTACCAAAGGATTCATTCGTCTATACGTACGCACGTAGACTCGGATGTGTACACCAATGGTTATTACGTAAGGATATAATTATATCCAGAATAATAAGCAAAGACACAAAAGTGTTCCGAATAACGATTTATTAATACAAGATCAAGATGATAAGCGATCAATTAACGCTGTGAATAATTATTGGAATTGTGCCGTCGTTTCTGCTCCCAAATAAAACGTTGCTTTTTTTTGGCTCAATTATTGATGATTATACTTCTTTGTGTTGCAGGTGATGAGAGCGACACGTTGTGGGGATTAAAGTTGTTAAAAAAGGCGAGGAAGTGGCGAGGTTCGTAAAAATCGGCATCGGGGGCTTACGATCCGGGCAGCGGTAGTGGTGGCGGAGCGGCAGGGGTGAGTAGATTTCATTTGTGTTAACAAAAAAAACTGCTATACGATTATGTAGGACAAAGCTGAATGAGAGTACACCAGATCTTATTTAAAGCACGCCGAGCGTTAATTATCCAGTTTCATCTACTTTTGTGAAAAGTACGGCTCCATTTTCTTATCGATATTGTATGTATACGCCTGTACGCGACGTCTCACGCGCTATTTCTTCTCCGCGGATTAACATACACATCTTTACGATTATTACTACGCTCGTATCGCATTAATTAAAATATGACATTCAGGCGCTTAAAAGTTTCTTAAACGTAAAACTTGACGTTGCCTAAAGCTGTTTAATCTGCGCGTTAATTATTAATTTATAAGTATTAAATTTGAGGAAGAAAATTTCCACCAAACATATGAATCGCCACAAAAGGCGACGTCAATACGCGATCGTCAGCCGTAATGAGTAAACGCACTTTCACAGTGCACTAAGTGAACTCGCGATTGTTACTTACTGTCATTTACCGGTCGTAGCTCAACTCCTACAGGGAGGCCGGCCGACGATTGTTACCGCGTGAGCTATAGTTGTAACGGGCGTCGACCGCTCATGCCCGCAGGTACTATGGGAGCGGGGGTATGGGGGGCGGAGGAGGGCTACAAGCCACGGACCTCCGGCGAAGGCTCGAGTTCCAGTGTACCGGAGGAACTTGTTCGCAGAGTCTTCGCTCCCTAAGGCACGCTGGCTATCATGCTACCGAGGAGAACGCCGCGTGCGACGACGAAGACAGGTAAAAGCGATGTCGCATCTGGAAAATGTAGTCCATTTGTGTCTGGCAGTCAGCTTTGCATGTCCTTTTTTTTTTTTTTTTATTAAGTACAATGTAAAATGTAAAGATAAAAATAGCCTAGAAAATTAACGAGGAATATATTTCTATTGTAATATTAGAAAAATGAAAAGAAAAAACTTAAAGTTTGTTGAGAATAATGTTAAAAAAAAACTTCTAAGAAAACTAAGTCCAATCGGTAATCGATAATAACATAAATATATATAATAACGTAAATGCTGAGGTAAAGCCACTTATGGTAAAAAAAAAAAACAATTTTCCCTTAGGAGGACTGACCACGAAGCGATCCTCGCTTCCGGTCAGCCTACCTGCACTGGCTGCCGACCGTTTAGGCGCCAAGAGAACGAAGCGGTTGAGAAAAAGGAGACTCTGAAGCGACGCATGCCAGAGTCGGATGGAATCGGTGCGGTGTACCGGAAGCTGCGGCTTTGTCTGGGCCTTTTCGAGAATGCGAGTAAGAACGATGAAACGGAAGACGGAGGAAAGAGGCATCGGTTACGGTGGTGTCACAGAGACTTCCGACGGATCGTGGAAGTGGCGACAAGAGCTCTACTCCTTGGTATCGCGCTCCTCGTCACACCAGGTACGTATTTCGCCTAGCATGTCTTGTAGACAGAAGCTCATATAAGCAAGCGTTATTAAAAAGCGCTTTTCCGAAGATATATTTATGTGCAGACGTTTGTATCAAATTTTTATATAAAAATTTTCATTTCGCGAAAATACATCCGAGAATTTATAATAGCATCGTGTATAATCAATTTATTTATCAATTTATCGATTTTAATGTTGATTGAAATTATTTCGCAATTTAAGCGATAACACAATTGTTATTATAACCGTGATATATCTTCGGAACTGTAATAATTTGAGAACCTGTCGCGTTCAGGGATCTCTTCATTTGTCCGCCGGCGCAATCACGTCAGTTCCGTGTATCGTTCCTCAATTAGCGAGGACCGCAAATTAGAGTTCGATAGTTGGCAGGACGTCCAAATGGTCGCTAATGCCGCGGCACCGTATCTCACGAAACGGGTCGTTGCTTCTCAAATCCGATGGGCCATAGGCGGGCAACGGGATGGAGAGCTTGCGGCTTGTAATAGGACGACCGGGATCGACAAATGAAGCGAAATAAGCTGGCCGCGCGATCAGATAACGGTATCGGATGAGAATGCCGAGTGTTCAATCTCCTTAAGTCAGCGAAGATAAAGTGAATGGCGCGAGATAAGCTCAACTTTCTCAACTGTCCCAACTTGCAAAATTACTCTCACAATCACAATTATTTTGTGGAAAGAACACAATGTCGCTGTGTAATAAGAACTTATCTTAATCACAGCTGTGTTTTTATTGCGTGAGATTAAGAGTTTTATTTAAAAATTTTTTTCTTTATAATGTGAAATCGATGTGCCTCGCGCTATTAATAATTATTATCGCTTTCATCGCACATCAACACGCACGCAATTACTGAAAATCTAATTCGTCGCAGCTTTTATCAACAACAGGCACATCTGGCTAGATTGTGAGACTCATTCATACTCGCAATCTGAAATATTCTCTTTTGGCGCTCGATTCGCTCGAGTTTCAGTCTGAAAGAATTTCCCATCGCAAGCCGAAGCGGCATGAATGGTCGCATGGTGAAAAGAGACTGAGCCCTTTATCAATGCTTTGAATTCGTTTTGATATGTGGCAGCTCGGCTGTTCGACAATTCGAAAAATGGCCCTCCCTGTCAAAAGTGGGACATTGTCGTATCTGGCGCGAGGAAGAAACATATAAGCCAAAGTAATAACAGTTTTTCCGTCGACGTTACGGAATAATGATATTTTGCACATTTTTGCGATTCCGTGGTGTTTTATAACATTTCGTGAAAAATGCAACGCTTGCGGCGTATTAGATTTGCATTTTTCGAGAAATTGGAACATTACACATTGACTTTGTGAGACCATCACCAACATTTTAATAAAACGGATACAGTGTAGCGTGAAACCGTAGAAGAGGCACCTCGTATCACGTTCTGTTTTTACAATTTATTCCGGCTAAAATGACACTCTAAAACACGGCAACCTGAATCACATCGTCGTAATGAGATATTACTGACGAAGAATAAAAAAATAAAAATATATACGCCCGACGCACCTGCAATTCAGATTTTTTTTTTACACGTTATACACGGGAATCCTTATGATGCTCGTTACACTCATCAGCGTGAATAATTTCATTAAAACTCTGGCCTGTCTCTCGCGAAGTCTCATTCAAAATATAATATATGCTCAACTGCGTTAACGACACGCATGCAGCAGTAATACAAAAACTTGCTTTACCTTGCAATTTAAATACACATTGTCTCACTTCTCTCGGCGCAATAAAATAAAAAGAGAGATTTAATTAATCACTGCAATTGCAATGATTATTTATTCGTAATGTAATTCCCCTCTCGTTTTCGCGATACGTAACGCTGAATACTTGTTATCGAATAATGTTGCGAGATAGATTATTTTCGTTAAAATGTTGTACTTTATGAGAGACAACAAAAAGTACATTCGATACGGGTACGTGCCGAAATACCGAATGCAGCATTGGAAATGCTTATCATAAATAATGTAAATATTGGGTGTTACCTGTAAAGTGCAGTTTTTAATCAAATTCGTAACGAACAAACGTTCCAATTAATAATTCTGCGGTCATTTCACGATGAGGGTTTCATTAATTTTCACAGTTATGGTATTTCATCATACACACGTGAAATAAAATACGCAAGTACATGATACGGGAGTGAATTATTAAAAATATCTGAAACAAAATACACAACTTGGAATAGGACATGCATTTTTCTACAGATTCTTTTAATTAAATTCTACTCCACTTTTATGCTCGTGTACATCATCGTGTTAACATTTCAATGTTTAATTGAGCGTGTTTCAGCGCTGTAATCTCCGACGTGTAGCGTTATACACATATATATTTTATAATTTAAGAATATGTTGCAAAATGCACAAAGTAACACTGAAATGAGAAACGCAGATTCCGAATAAATGTTTCTCTTTTTAATAATGTATGTAGCTGATCGCGGCGAATTTCTCTTCAATACGCGACGACACGTTCTGTATAAAGTGCATAGCTTCGTAAATTCCGTGCATTTTGTGACGTACTATGTGTATGTGTTGTGAACAGACGATTATGGTTTCTTCCTCATAGCAGCGATCAAAGCGTCGCAGATGGCAGGCGATGAAACGAGTTGCAAATGACGCGACCTGGACGCCGACCTGCAGAGTACATTGCCCTTGATAAAACCCGCTGCGCGCGAGAAAACCGCCAATCGATCGATTAATAGGGTTCAAGAATGACGATATTGTACGTAATTCGCGACGGTCGACGGTTTCGCAGCGCGAGGCATCGAGAATTATACGCGCGAGATTACGCGCGTTTCCACACGCACGACGTTAAGAAGTGTGCATTGTGCGAAGAAATGCATTGCCGTATTGTGGTAGTTGCATTATCCCATCGTGATTGTGCCTGGAGTGACGTTCGTTATTTTCGCGTGCATCGCCCTTAGATCGGAAGATATATGGTACGGTCGTTAAGACGGGAAGATAAATGCGAATTTTTTCACCGCACTCCATTTATTTCCAACGTGCAGTGCTCTCAGAGGAAAACATATGTATGAAAATCGTAATAGCGTGCGTAAAATCGATACTCGGTACGGCGAAGTCGGCCCTCGCAGCGGCGTTTTGCCTTTCGCAAAAAAAGGATTTTTCGCATTTCAATATTGAGTCCGAGATACACACATTCGTCGGTTTCGTTTATTCGAAATAATTAGAACCCATCTTTGAATCCTGAGCTCATTAAGGTAATAGTATACTCGTTAGCCCCGCTTAATTGCTCTACCTTCCGCTTCATCCAATTGGGCCGGGTATCTTGTACGCGGAGCCGCCTCAACACACGCTCGGCTATTTAGCTTACACACGAGGTATGGCGTACGAGCTGATGGAACGGCTCGCTAATTTCACGCTTCGCTACTACCTGAAAATTCGTTGGCAAAGATGAGGAGCTACTTCACGAACTTGCTTTAACGTTCCCGCGCATTCGAGACAAAGGGTCAGTAACAATGGATTTTTTTACCAAAACGTTATAAATTTTTCCACGTACCATTTATTAAAAGATTAAAGGATTATACGATTTAAAGTTTAAATAAGTTATACGTGAAATTAAATTAATATATCTCTAACCCGCATATCTCTCCATGGAGGGAGAGAGAGATTATTTAATACAATACATTATTTAAAATTATATTATATATACATAGAAAATATCTACGCTGAGGGAGAGAATTGGAAAGCGGGGTTTTAACCCGATATTTGTTTCAGCTTACGAAAACAAGAGTGGAATATTTTATTTCGAAACAACAAGAATGGAAGCAAAATATTTCGTTTTCGTACCGCGTGGAGATAAACGAAATTTTTCGTGTTCCGTCTCTGCGCACGCGGCTACATATATTTTCTGTAGACCATTCAAATGAATTGCTCAATCTGTTTATCTCGCAGGAAAAACAACCGCCAAGTAAAATGCGGGTTGCCAAAACGACGTGGAAGTGATTCTGTCTAAACCCTCCGAGTTAACGGGCTGTGAAACGGAAAAGTCTTTTCCGCGTATAAAGAGAATTTCCGCGCCGGTTGCTCGCTACTCCTACAGATTTTCCGATGATCGGGTAATACGACTCAAGCGAGTTTCGCCCCTCGACTACAAAGTTGAGGGGCGAATAATTCCTAGTGCGTTCGCCTCGCGTGCACGCAAATTATTAGCGGCAGAATTTATCGCACGCGCCAGATCGACGTACATAAACCGTGCGATCTACGCCGATACCGCCGCGAGAAATATAAGAACGCGCGATTATCGCAATTAAACCGGTCGGCAATTTTACATTATCAAGTGACACGACTATAGTCTCATATATTATTTGGCCGGTCTCGCGACAAATGCATTAAATCCTGAAAGAATAATTGTCTTTGAACTGTTATTAATATTTCAGTATTTTAATATTCGTATTTGAATTTCCTCTCCTAAAAAAAGGCATATTACTCATATAAAATATGAGGCATAATATAAAGGCATATTACTCATTTTTATCTTTTGAAATCTTACAACATTTGGTAGGTCTAGAATTTTAATATACACATTTTTCTTACTATACACTGAAATCTTATATTATTTTATAGAAAATTAAAATGTACATTTTATTTATTTTTATGCTTTAGAATCTTATATCATGTCCAAGCCTACAACTTTACTGCGATGCATTGAAATCTTATTTTTTTGTTAAAAATATAAAATTTCAATGCACCGCAGTAAAGAAAATGTACATAAAATTCTAACTTAACAAATGTTGTGACGTAACATTACAGGTTATAAAAATGAATAAAATGTACATTTTAACGTTTTAAACCATTTCTTTTCTTGAAATATAAGATTTCAATGCATCGCAGTAAAGTTCTAGACCTGCCAAATGATATGATATAAGATTCTAAAGCACAGAAATGAATAAAATATACATTTTATTCATTTTTATGTTTCAGAATTTTATATTTGATAGACCCAGAATGTACATTTTCTTTACTGTGATGCATTGAAATCTTATATTTTGAAGAAAGAAGCGGTCCAGAATGTTAAAGCATACATTTTATTCAATTTTAAGTACAAGAATTTTATACTATGTATATAAAATTTGATAGGTTTAGCATTTAAAAATTCATATTTTCTTTCTACTACGCTACACGCGCACAATGTTTTAGTACAGATAAAAATATGCTGGCTGACATAGTGTACAAGTCTCCTTTCATATCTCAATTGCAACACGCTCGGTCCATTCAACACGCAAATTAGCAAAACGCCATTCACGTCGCGCATAATAGTAATTATAACTATTACCTACAAAATTGTGGAGAGGCTTTATTTTGCGAACTCGCTTTCCGGAGATAACGAGGTGTTCCCGTCGCATACAGCGCAGACAGACCATTGAAAATTTAATAACAAGTAACAATAAAAATGGTTATTTGGACGCCGCATTATCCCAGGAGGGCCTCGGCAATGGCGATAATGGCTGCACAAATGTGCGCCGGTTGCGCGTCCGAGTTCAGATTATTATTCGCGGCGCGTACATCGAGGGGGCGGGCTAAAACGGGTTGTTGCATGATCGGAGGCAAGCGGAGGGTGTTATGCCGGTTTCGTCGTGCAATATCAATAATATCGTCACGACTACGTCCCCGTTACGTTAATAACGCGCTCGTTGTAGAACGCGGACGTCGATCACATTTAGATGTTGCGACGAACATAACGTAAGGTAAAAATTTCATTTTAGATTACATTCACGAAACTTTGAACAACGAATATTGCGAGAAAAACAATTGCGAGCGACGCTATGAACCTCTAAACGCGAGAGAGAGAGAAACTCGACACATTGCGACGTGAATGTTCCGAAAACGATTCCGAAGTAATAGCGTCCCCGCTATTTTGGTTTAGAGCATTTGAACGGTTGAAAGTATCGAGCGTAGTACACGAGTTAGCGTGACTTTTCTCCTTTACGACTTCGTTGCGCGTGTATATCCCTTATCGAGAACTGCCACTGCCTGTGGCAAAACGTCGAACTCTGGACGGTTCACCGGGGCAGACGTCGAGAAGCCGCGATCCATGATATTACACAATGCATACGTAATGCGGCGGTGGTGGCGGCGACGAAGTAGCGCGTCCGTATCCGTCCGACCATGGTGGATGTGCATTGCGAGAACTCTCGTATCGCGAGACATCGTTCGCGATGGGCACCTTGGGAGCTTGGGACATTAATGCGCCAACGACGGACTACATTCGGTGACACAGATATTCGCAGCTCCGGTGATAAATTTAAAAAGAGCGTTTTACATTTTTAAATATTACCGAATTAATTTTCATTAAAGGAATGCTGTCGTGAGATTTGTCAAAAGATACCGCTCTGTCAAATTATATAAGTTCCGTGACATGTCTTATGTACAGAGAGCCGCCGTAAAATACATGAAATATTGCAGCATAATGCTTTCGATAAGAAAACCGCGAACGCGCGGTAAATGTCAACGTGGCATACGTCATCGCCGAGACGATGTGTTTAACGTAATGCAATTTTGCTAAAACTCCCGTCGGACTTTTTATTGACAATGAAAGCACCTCCGATTTAGAACTCATCTGCTGCGCAGCCGTAGGGCTGTCGTTATGAAACGCGTTTCGGAGGTTTGCGCCCGAGGAGAGATTTATTACAGTCGCCTTTGTCGTATGTATGCGCGCCAAAAATGTGTCGTATTTGCAACACGAGGTATCTCAAAGAGGATAGGTATCAAAGTCGCGTCCATTATCCGAAATGGATGCCATCGAGCCCACTGACATGCTCTGCTCGCCCCCGTTCCTTCCTTTCACATTGCGCGACGCGCAATTCTCTCCCTTGATGTTAGCGATTTTCTGCGGTTTCGGTTGTCAGCTTTTCCGAGCAGT